TATATATATATGTATATATATATATATGTATATGTAAATATGTATATATATACATATATACATATATACATATACATATATATATATACATATATACATATATATATATACATATATATATATACACGCACGTATTCAAAACTCCAGAACGAAGACACGAGTTTGAAACGGACTCCGACTTGGCATCGTACACGATTCCGAAGATTTGAGCCTATAAATACAACATGAAACGTGGACGAAGAACTGTAGTTTTCTGAAGCTATCGAGCCATCAACCAATAGCTTCTTCCGCCGCTCAACGATTGCTTCTCGCCGTCGCATCGTCTTCTTCCTTCTCAATCCAATCCAAGGTTAATTCTTGCAGTGCTCCTGTGCTGTTTCTATATACGATTCGATTGCTCAGTCATGATGATCTTTTTTTTTATTTTGTTTAATCGAGAACTAGGAGTATATATATATATTATGATGATCTTCTAAGCCATGGTCCTTCTTGATCATTACCTGCATGTTGTCCTTGTCCTCCTCTCTTCTTCTCATCCTCAACCATGAGTTGTTTGCTTCTTTGGCATCATAAGCACAAGCAGCAGTTGCTGTGATATCTGATGAGCGTGTGAGCCCGAAGGTTCGAAGCTTAAGTCGGAGCAGAACACTGCAACGATTAGAGAATTAGATCCGAAGCTATGAATCACAAAGAAAAAAAAACCCCCAAAACAACAAATACATGCATGTGAATAAATATTATGTCGGCTTGGCTAACTAGTGCCTAATTATTCGGCTTGTAATTACGAATCATGTGAATAAATATTATGCTAGCTTGCTAATGCCTAATTGTTTGATTTGTAATTACAAATCGTATAAGCTCGAAAGATCCTACTTATATATTATCCTTTGTAATTAGTTAACCTTAGCATCTCTATCCATGCACTTTCAAAAGTTATATAGAGATTCTTAAATTTATGAAATTGAAACCTAACAAGTGTTGACTCTATCTCATTTTGATTTATCACTAAACATATGTGAAGAAAAAAGAGATTAAATGTTTCACTTTTATAAATATAATTTTTAATAGTGTAAGGATCGAAATACTAAATGTAGCTGATTACAATGATTAATATTGTAATTAGTCTTACTTTTATTCGACCGGAGTTTAAACAGGGTAGAAGTTATGCAACTCTTGCAAACCCGAAAGAGAGAGATCTCCATGCAGACTTAGAATTAGTGCCTTGATGTGTGCTTATCGAAGGAGGAAAGAGAGAGAGAGAGTTGATGATCAATAAATAATGCACACCCATGCATGCATAGCAGGTACTACCTACGTAGAGGACCAAAGAATTCCTTTCTCTGTGTCTTACCTACAAACCCATGGTAAACCACCTTTGTTTAGGCTTCTGTTCTGCTTGCAGACTGACTTAGCTGCTTCATACTTCTTCCTCAGTTGAGTTCTTACCAGTAGTCCTGTAAAAGAATGTAAGAATATTAAGAGTAATATATATGGAGAGAAGAAGACTGCTACTAAACAATGATCGAATAGTTGAGACAAACCCTAACTCTCCAGCTGATTCAGATGGGTGACATGGGAAACATGAAGCTTCAGATGCTGATGGATTTCATCAGCGCACATGATTTGTTTCACGAAAAATGTGAACTCCATGAAAAACCCTGCAACTTCTACTGTTTCGACTGCCGAATGACTCCCTTCTGCGCCCTGTGCAGACCAGCGCACAACCACGAGCACCAACACATCATCCAGGTGAGTCAAACCAACCAACCATCCTTCGTCGTGACCTCGCATTCTGATGATGGCTTCTTCCATTCCAAAAGGTGTTCAAAGCCACGCGCAAGGAGGCGGTGTTGGAAGAAAGCATCGCCGGGCTCATCGACACCTCGGACATCCAAAAGCTCATCAACAACGGGGCCAGCGTGGTGTACATCAGAAGGAGGAGAGATCCTCGCGCACCGGGACAAATCATCGAACATCACGCGTGCAGGACGTGCAGTTTCATATTCCCGCCCTCTACGAAGGACCCTGGAATCAGGTTCTGCTCCATCAGTTGCAAGGTGAGCGAGGTTTACGCTTGGGAGCTCTGCTTCGTCTTTTGCGTGCGGTGGTAACACGTCGTCGGTGGATTTGAGCGAACGCAGCTGCAGGAGATGATGGCGGAATTGGGATGGAGCGAAGGAGGCGAGACGCCGAATGGTGGGTCGACTTCAAACGGCAAGCGCAGCGGCAGCGGTAGCGCAAGCGTCAGCAGCAGCAACGCCACCAGCGACGACGCGGACACGGGAGACGAGGGAGGCATCGTAGTCCCACTTCGTCGGAGGCCGCGGAAGCAGTCGAGGCCTCTTCAGTCGCCATTGATGTGAAAGTAGAGCAAATTAGTTGGAATTGTACAGCAAACACACATACCACCATTTTTTGTCTTCTCGTCATCGTTTCTAAGACTAATAGGCATCATCGTATCGTGTAGCACTGCCACATTTTGACCCCATCATGACCACAGTCAATGATGCCATTGGTAGTTTATATTTTCTCCAGTCAATGATGCCATTGGTAGTTTATATTTTCTCCCTTTAATAATAATTACGATAACAATATTTACTGTTACTGTAATCTGAGAGGTATCAAATAAACAGTATTGACGACCATATTGTAAACAACTCGACCTTTCGAGAGGTATCAAATAAACAGTGTTTCCAAGGATCAAACAATTATTACGTATGCAAGAGAGGCTACACAAGATTACCTGATAAATATTTGGGCAAGAAAAATTGGATACTAGATTACCAACTAATTTGAAGTTAGTAAAACCATTTCGGCCGCGACTCTTCTTCTTTCTCTGTCAGCTCTTGGAACTGGTACCACTCTTCACCGGCTTTACCGACAGGGATTGGTGGCCTTATGAAGATCTCGACGGGCTTCGGCACATGAACAGCCAGATGCAGTTCCCCTGCCTTCACCCTCGTATCTGGGTCATTGGGTTCTGCTGCACTGACGGGTTCAACTGCTATCCATCCTAGACCGGATATCGCAATGTCACAAGCAGGCCTGTCCAACAAAATGATTTGCAAGGTTAAAGCTTTGGCTCAGCATATATCTTGTATCTTAGAGCTGTGTTACTCTGATCTTCTCAAATCACCAGATTTGAAGTAACAAATATCTCAAAGTAATGTATTAGCAGTCAACATTCATTGATAGAATTCAGCCAAGTCAATCCAGAGACGTGCTAAGATTATAAAGAAAACCCTCAGCTAAGGCAACTAAAAAATGATCCTTCAATCAAAATGAAACAAAGTTGTACAACAAGGATATTAGCATGAGGGTCCAACAAGAACTTCAGTTCAGATGTAATAGCATGTTAGCATAAATGTAAGCAGCAGCACAAGGAATCAGCAGTGACCATACACAAAAGGAACTATGTTTTCACATTCTTGTACCTTATCATACTCCTAAAGGAATGAGCTACTTGTCCTATACATAGCATCTGGCATCTTCTCTAGATAATCTTGCAGCCATTTCTAACCAAAATCACTTCCAACTTGGCGAGGACAATTAAATTGGATTACTTTATTAAATTTCTGTGTCCAGCAAAAATGACCGTAGCTACATTGATCACCTTACAAATCAATGTCAAAGATACGATAAGATTCAAATTGAAACACATTGTTACAATCATCATTTAAATCAGACCAGATATTTTGGCAACGATAGTCTGCACATGTGATATTACCTCATAGATCAATATTGTAGCATTAATAGCTTGAGCAAATGAATTTAATAATACAGTTTTTCTAAGATACACTGACGATTATCATCATAGTGACTCATTTAATTATGTAGGAAGAGTCAGCTAGTAGGTGATGCAAATTGTTTGATTATGACATGATTGATCATAACAAACATTAGACAAACTTATCAAACCTTATTCCCTGATACTCAACTAAATCATTGTATTTAATAATGAATGGTAAGACTACAGTTGGTCAGAAAGATAAAGTGGTCTCCAGATGTCATCAGGACAGTCGAAGATCCTGATGGCACCTGCTGCATTTTCTTTTCACTCTTTGGGACTCTTACACAGGTGCTTTGGCACTTGGGACATATGGCATGGCATCACATGGAGGATCTAGCATCCATAATGAGACATTTCTCTTATCAGAGAAGCAATACCATCATGTAATGAAACAATACCTGTTTGTATCTTCAAATTTTATCTGCAATTGCCTTACTGCTTGAAGACCTAACCAAGATTCAACTCTTTCCTTGCCCGATGGGGGTGTCAGTGTGTTTCCAAGTTCTTTCTGGAAATCAAAACTTAAATGACATTAGACAAATGCATGAAATGGTTAATATACAAATTTCATATGAGAGAAAAGTGCTCAAATAAAAGAAAGAAGTGAAATAAGCAGTTAATCAGCAAGCTGCCATCTACCATAGTGGTAAAGATTTTAGTATAGTTGAATACAAAGTACAGTTGATACTCCCAGCTTGATATCAAAGGCATGAACTATTTCCTAAGACGCACAAATCACCATGTTTGCCAAACCTTCTGACCGTGAAGAAGAAGAAGAACAAAGTACAGTTGATACTCCCAGCTTGATATCAAAGGCACAAACTATTTCCTAAAGCGCACAAATCACCACGTTTGCCAAACCTTCTGACCGTGATAGAGTAATTTTTCAGAAGGCACCTCAGCATATAATTAAGAAAATATGCAGCTAAACTTGAATGCCAATGAATTAATTATAAGCAAGAAAAGATGTATGATACAAAGGTAGAACAAGGTGAAGCAAAATCTTAGTTTCAAAACCTTAAAAGATTAGCAATCACATACATGGTAAAATTCATCTGCTTTGGCCATTGAAACCATATGAACCTTTAATTTCTTGGGCCCATAAAATGTCAGACGTGTCCTTGGAAGAACCTGCATTTTCACACACAATGGCTACAAATACTTGGCAGCATGAAATCTGTAGATTCATCCTTGTGTGCTATAAAAAAGAATGTTGATAGAAAACCTTGATAACATCAATTCGGACAAGTCCTCCCCAAAATAGTGAAGATCCATTTATGCCTACAGCTTCTGAGTCGGTGATTGTACCAATAGAGATAACCTGCTTTTCACAATCATTTCAAGAAAAAAACTACAAAAAAATATCTTCTGTGCAAAATCTCAAATACATCTCAAATGAAAGATCATTGTACAGGAAATGATTGTCCCCTTAGACGGCTTTGAGGTGCAAGAGAAGGCAGATCATCCGAATGTACCACTGCTGCTTGCCGGTGGTGAAGATGCACACCAGGTGTGTCAAACAAATTCTGTCCCACAAAAACATGTAGTAATTACTATTCTCATAAATATGTTATGACATGATTAAGAAAAAAATATCATAACTCAATATAATCCAATAGCATATTTCCTTAAAAGAATACAATACAAGAAACATAATTGAAACATGTTGAGTACAAAATGAAAATAATTGCTGATGACATGACAATTTATATTTATGGGGGTCGCTTCAGTGGTATGGAAAGTTTGAGGTTGAGAACCTTATCACCTAGGTTGCTGAGGAGCAACCTGACTGCTTCTGCTTCTACCAATGTTGTAAGAAAATTTGTAAATGCATGAGAAAAATGATGGCCAAAGAATATGAAATCATAAATAACAGCTAGCATGCATTTTCTATTTATTTACACGGTTCTGAAGCAAGAAGCTGGACTCTTCCAGTGCATATCCAAGATACTTTTGAGGTATTGGTTCATCACAGGTCCATGTACGGTATTGTCAAAGAGATATACTGAGACTCTGTCCCTCTAACATCAGAATAAGAGGGAGATAATTAGAGAGAACATTATACATGTAGAAGTACCATGTTTTTATTGTAATCATTTCACCCATATATAAGATCCTTCAATATCAAAATTTCTCACATCAGTTTGTCCTATCCTGCCACATCTATACATCACACAAGTATGTCTGTTTCTCCACAGAAAAACAGAAAACAGGAGTTAGATCTTAGCAACTATTTTTGAGAAAACATATATTGGCAGCAAACTGGAATCTGTATTATTTGCAAGGACAGAATGGAGAAACTAAACTCATCAAATTCTAATACGCATGTAGAAACCAAGTTCTGGCAACTCAACTAATCCAAAGTACGCACCCCTCCTCCTTGGAAGGCTTCAATTTGAATAGGACCCAGGGTTGTTCCAGGAACAGCTGATTGCATTGGTTTGTATTTCTGAGCAGCTGCAGCAACCGGATCCTTTCTTGCCATTAACTCTATATTTACAAGAGCATAAATTTTAATATACTGATCAATAAGTTGAAGTTTTTATGCATAAAATAATCACAAGGAAAGGGATCATAAGATAATTGTCAGAATAAATGGCAAGGTCACAATATAAATCTTCTCATTTAACCGAGGTAAAATTTTCTAATTCATAGAATATCAATAAATACAAAAAAGTGTGACAATTCAAGAAAATTATCTTAGGAACACAAATCTAGTGCATTATACATATGAGAAAAATCTAGCGCATTATACATATAAGAAATCCTACAGTATATATTTTTACAAAGACAAATGCAATTGTAATTTTTCTGTAATTATTAAAAAAATACTAAGCTAATCTTTATTTATCAAGCTGTTAAGGAAATCATGCATACTGATCATAGGTGCTCACCTGTGGAAACAGACATTCCACCTTAGCTTTTCAAGAGGTTACTGCCTATGAGCACCTAGGCATTTTGACAAATATAATACAGCAGAAAATTTGAGATGCTAATTATATCAGATAAATGTAAAAGGTTCCATTTGCAAACGTACATCTTACATAAATCTATACAGACTAATCATTAGGTTTGACTTTGAGGACTTGCACAATCAAAAAATCTAGTTATAGACTTACAGTTCAAACCAGGGTTCTAAATACCGCCCAGACCTGTCCATAGAGGACGACATTTACCAGTTCGATGGCAAAAAACCACTACTTTTCGGGTTGGTCCAAGCAGGTTCAAGCTCTTCTTTTATTTACCAGTTCTTTTTTTCTCAGAATTCATGTTAAGTCATGCCAAGTAAGACAGTGAGAGCAAGCAAATTCATGAACAAAGTCTAGATTGATGTATGACATTAGTGTACAACATTAGGATAAACAACTTTGGACAAATTACTAGATGAATTAACCTTAGACTAAACAGATCAACTTCCATGGAAAATCATTACTTGATTCATAAATGAAATGTAAATGCTTCTGCCAAATTACCGGATAACATAAAGGAAAAGATGGTTTAGTATAAAGTGATCAAACTTCAACCAATAATCAGTCAGTTGTTATAAAAGTCATCTATAGTTGCTATGGGTTGCACAGTAGAAATAATAAGGTTCACTTCTATATAAGACAAGTGATAGTTGTCAAGAAAAAGAACTTACTGAGCAAAGCATTGATAAATGCAGACTTGCCAACATTTGCAGACCCCTGTAACAATGACAGTAATACTTGTCATTAATGTAAATCACAAGTGAGTTATTCTAAGTGTCACACAATGGAAGAGACAGCAAAAGGATACATGTCTTGATCAACAAAAATATGTTTACATGTTTACACTCCAAATCATCAAACATGTTTACATGTTTCGATGAATTAGTTCAAATTTCACCCTGGGTCAGTAAACCAAGACAAGACAGTAGAAAGAATATGACAAAGTCTGGGCATCATCCTTCTCAGTCTCTTGCATGTATTCCATCGTGCATTTGAAGTTTGGTATTCCTGAACAGTTTCCTATCTTTATTAAGAAGTACAATAGATCATGAAATTTGGCTAGTTAATCCTCATTTTCCTTGAACTAGTCTTCCTAGTAGCCATATTTAAAGACATGAGATTAGTCTAATTGTCAGGACATATTTATGATGTTGATTAGTGTCAGGAGATTGAATGGCTCGAACAAAGATGAGCATATCGGGTGGAATTAGTTCTCTTACAAAATGCATAATATAAGAAATGATCGTGCTCAGCCAGTTCAAGGATGCATCAATTTTGATGTGATGGCCTGAGGTGGTTCAGATAGAACCTTGGAACCATAAATTGCATCAATAAGGGCAAACCAATTAGGCTGCAAGAACCACAAAGAAAGAAACAAAGAAGATTAGGAGTGAGTCAGCTAGTCAGAGAAGACCTAAAAGGATCTCTCGATATAAAAAGGGAATTTCCAAACAGTGTGCCTTCTTGCCAAACTCAAGTGGTTGGGGCTTTAGCAATAAAGCCAGATATCGATATATTTATCTTTTAAGAGTATTGTAGGAATGAATTTAAGGTTTTTTTAAAAAATAAAATATTCCAGATTCACTATTCCCACAAATAGGTTTGAGTCAATCTTAGGCTAAGAAGCACAGACACCGGACATGGATACGACACAACTCGGACAAGGCAACTTGTCATTTTTAAAAAAATTAGAACGCGAGGAGGACACATGTACTTTTTAATATATATGTATAGATAATATTCAATTAACATGTTTTATAGTATTTATACTTATAAACTCAGCAATGTGAACAAATGAATATCATCATATAGGTTGAAAAAATTAAAATCATCAAATAATATTTAACAATCTCCAAATATAATTGATATATGTTTCATTTTGATGATTTCAGATTTCTTTTTTTGCAAAGCTTATGGCACTCACGTGAGGACCACACAAGTGCAATGCCGCATGCGAGTGTCCAACACATGTGTCCATGTGTCTGAGTGTCAGACACGGAGACGTCCACCAAAAGCATGTGTCAGTGCTTCTTAGATCTTAGGTAATAACGTAAGATTATCTTATTACTTTCTTCCCTTGAAGTGTTTCTAGAAACTCAAGGAAGAGTTTTAATAAATAGAAGGTGAGTGTTGCTTGTATTCAGTGTCATGTAGCCCACGGGCTTGTCCTCCTCTTCTCTTGGCTCTCTAAGTCTTTTAGTTTTTATTATTGCTTCTCTTTCTCCTATTAATCTGTCAGATGCTTCCCTTGCAGGATCATATAACCAGCTTGTCAGATGGCTTGCTACTGCAGAGCCTTTTGGTATGATTTCTGGTGCAAAGATGCCACTTCTTTTATTGTTGCTACTTCGGAATTATCAGGACTTGATCTTTAACAAGTTTTTGGATATGATCCTTTGGTAGATTCACAAGAGAGGAAAAAAATCTCTAATTGCATCTAGTTCCTCCTATTTAACTTTGCAAATTAAAGAACTGCCTGTATGTCTGGCAAACCATCTACGATTGTCGTGAGGGTAGGTGGAGAAGTGGGATGGTTGGATTAGACATCACGATACGCCATTGTGGCAAACACAAACATACCAAATATCATAATAGGCAACATGGCAGATTGATAAGAGAGGAAGAACAAGAGAGAGAAGAACAAGACTCGGTTAATACACTCAACAGGTACAAACTCAACACAAATTTTCATTAATCATCTCAAAAAATTGAATACAAAAAAGACCAATTACCCTTGTTCTGAATCTACATTGCTTGAGCTTTAAGCAAACTTAAAGAAGGAAAAACTAACCAAGAATATCACAACAAATGAATTCAAAGAAACCATAGAAATGGGAAAAGTGCTTTAGAACTCATATTCAAACCAAAGTTAAGACCTAACCAAACTAATATATTAAAATATAGCCTTAAAAAGTATTATCAAACAAGGTAAAGATAATAAACTATAAATGAAAATCAAGAATAAAGGCAATGCAATCTGTTTAGCAATGTGTAGAAACGTTCCATTAAGATTCACAAAATATTCATGGAGAACCGAGTAAACTAATAAAAAATTAGCTATACAATATAACAGCAAAATTTCCACATAATAAAGAGTAGTTTAGACAAATGCAATTGTGAACCAAAGAGATGGGAAAAATGAAAAACCTGATAGGCCTGAGACCAAATAAGCCATAGATACTTAATGTAGATGTGACATTGTTCCAATAATTGGAATACATGATACAATCATACAATATGTCCAAGACTCAAAGAGGATATCTAATCAATTTCAAAGATGACATTTTATTTAAGGCATGGCTTTATCATATAAATACATGCACACAGGGAAACATTTGTAATGTTTACAAGCTTTAGAAAATACGAACCAGAATATAGACATCTCGGCCCTGCACAAAAGAAAAAACACCATAATTAGCCATAAATCCTAAAATAGCAACGTCTGTACTGATATAGTTTAATGAAAAGATCATAGGCATCCTCTTAAACAACCTACCTCCCTCTGGCTATGCCAGCACTACCACTTCCCAAGTAGCTGTTTGTTTTTTGTATTTCTCTCTTCTCAATTTTTTTTCTTTTCTATTCTTTTTTCCTTTCTTCCCGTTAGTGCCCCAATCAGTGTTGGAATGAGCTGGTTAGATGCATCCGGGCAGATTTCAATCATATAGATCAGATGATCTGGTAGATCTTAATCAATCCTAAGACCCCAAACTACCAAACCCATTTTTTTGAATCAAAATACGAATTGACAATACTCAGATTTAATTGTTTTGTAGCGTAGATTATAAAGATCAAGCTAAAAAGAGAATTTATACAAAAAAAAAGGAACACAACAGACCTAAACTGATGTTATAGTAAATTCAAATGACGTAGGGATAATTAGGCGAGGAAATAGTGAATGAAAAAGAACCTTTTTCTCCTTTTGGATCTCTGATATGACACCAGCAATCCCCACAAAAGACTTTGAACTCGTCAGGTGGACACTGATAACACTGCAATAAAGGGTACATCTTAGGGCAGTAGTCCATTTGTGAATGAAATCTAAATAAATTTCAAATAGCATTCTCCTAGAACCTCTTGTTCAAAAGAATAGCCAACATCATTAGCATTATGTTTTGGTCTAATCAGCTAAATTACACAATTACTAATGAGCTAAATGTCCAAGAGCCAAAAACGTCAATGAAACAAAAGGAAAATATGTCCCAAGAGACAAAATACCCCAAGAGCATACCCTGTTACCACTCATTGCCTATGGTGATCAATATCAAATTTGACCCTTATCCTGAACAATAACACAGCAGAGATGTGGTTGATAAATAAAGAGAGAGAGAGAGAAGAGATAAACAAGAAAACGGAAGAGAAAAAAAGAAAAAAGGTAACTAGGATAACAAACAGAAAACTTGCATTTTCTCAAAACCATGTATATAAAAGGAGCTGACACCCTTAATTAGAAGCTTACTATTTGCAGCCCCTTTTTTACTATTGACAACCCCCACACTACTGATAAGCCTTTAAAAAATAATAAAATATTATTTTATTATTTACAGCTCCAATATTACCAATATTATCAATATTTTCTTTTTTTCTTTTTTTTTTCCTTCCCCACAATCCCTTATTTCATCCATGCTGTAGATGCCATCGTTATCGCCCCATCGACGTCATCCTTTGGGGGGAGGAGTGGAGGAAAAAGAGTCCATTTGCAAAGGGTCGTTTAGAAATATTAAAAAATTTTAAAAAGATATTGTAAATAATAAAAAAGGGTTGCAAATAGTAAACTCCCTCCCCTAAATCATAAGCATTAAAATTTAAGCCCTAAGCAAGATAGAAATTATCGTGTTATCAAAATCAAATCAGATCAAATCAAATCCATACACCAGAGTATCCACAACTCGATATATTTTTATTAATATGTATATTACTTTATATATTTTATAAATTGTGTAATATTTATATTATATTATGTTTATGATATTATTTATTTTTTAAATTTTATATGTATGTTTTCATTATCCATATATATTATTTAATGTATATCTATTATACATTGAATTTTTTATAAATACAAAATATTATATTTTATTTTTTTGATATTTTATTTAATGTTTACAGTAGCTTATTGTGTTTTTAATAGGCACTCGAGTGAGACGAGACTCGAGTGCCTCGCACAACATTTGAGCGGCGTGCTTCACTAAAGTGTCGCTTAGGTGCTCGCCTTGGCCCAAGCACCATGTGGCTCAAGCAAGCGCTCAATTGAATCCCACAAGTCGAACCAAATTGTGGACATTAGTTTAATTGAATAGTAACTTGGTTCAATCGAACAAACTAAGCCTAATAGTAAATCCCAAACCTCACCCCCTTTAGTCTGTCGTTGTTGCCTCCGTGCACAGCTCCATCCGCCGTCGAGGGATAGGTCTGTAGCTTCCTCCACCGCTGATGGACACATAAAAAACTTCCTCTACCACCGACGTCGTCATTTGCAGCTTCCTTCGCCACCATTGTCGTCGTTCAAAGGTTCCTCCACCTACATTGTAGCCCTCTCCTTCCCCACCTTCCACCGTAGGCTGATTGTTAGGACTCT